CTTTGTATAAATAGCAGGACCGTGTTTTAGAGACTTCCAGACTCGAGGCCAGGCTGGTAATAAGGAGATAACACACACAGTAACATGGCTAACATAATGGCAATACTGATAATCCACTTTTGTGAGAGCTTCAGCTGTTTAAAAGATGCAGGGTAAGCAAAATCCCAAGGAACCAGACCTCATGGTTTATTCTTTTGGTTGTGTATTATTGCCCTCACTTTCTAAACGGGACACTGAGTGCTCAGTGGGAATGACATACAGCTCGAGCCCCCAGGCTGGGCCTCTTACTGGTATAGCAACATTACACAGGATGAGCATGTTTGGAAAATAATTTACCATCTCCCGATAGCTGTTACACTGTGGAAAAAAAGCATTTGAACATTGACTGCGAGAAGGAGCTTAACAAGGCACCGAAGGCAAGCTTCAGAGCCTTAACAGAAGCTCTTGTAAAACGTGCTTCCTCATTACACTGTGCACTTGCCCTGCTCAGCCTTTTGTCTCCGTGATTACACACGCTCTCCTCCTTCCCCTTCTCCCTGGCAGTCCCTGTTTGTGTATTCCCAGTGGGCACGCTCTGTCCATTGACGGAGCGGCACCGGCACGTGCGGGCTGCCCGGCCCTGGCAAACACTTGTGCGGGGCGGAGGGAGGGGATTGAAAGGCTTTTTCTTCTCCCTGCACAAAGGTCACTCTTCCCCCCCCTCCCTTCCTCCTCTCTTTGCGGTTTTCTCTCTGCTACTCCACGGCGGGGCCGCAGCTTTCGCCCAGCACCGGAGTAGATGCTTTGGGGACGCGTTTGTAGGACGGTCCTGCAGCTGAGCAAGTCTGGGAGTGTGTGTCTGTGTCCTGTCCCACTGTTTTTGTTCTGCTGCTGGAACTGTGGCTCTCCCTCCCAAGCCAGGTCTGTGTGTTCGGTTTGAAAGCAGAAAAAAAAAAAAAGAGCGTTTCATTACTGTTATTGGTTGTGTGGAAGCGCTTTCCTGCTGTGATGCCTTTTAGACACTCCCTTGGCTGTTATCCTGTGGAAAGAGGCAGAATGAGATTTTTGCCTCCCATGCACTTTGCTCATTGGATTAAGGATAAAATTGAAGCTTTCCTCAAAGACTGGGTAGCCTTAAAAATGAATGAATACATGGGATTAAAGAACCACGAGATAATTTATTTTTTCTAATCCTGTTTAGAAGTAACTATTGAAATAAATGGATTTGCTGGTGGAGTTAAGAGGAGAATCTGAATCTAGAAGGTCTCACTGTACAGTTACCTTTTGAGTTGTTGAACTCTAGAGGATCAGGTAATTAAATTCATGAACCAGAGAAGAGATGAAAGTAGGTTTTAGGAGATACCATCCTTTAAAAACATTAAAGTTGCAGAAGGATTTGAAATTTCTGTGTCGCCTGGATGAACTTGGCCACGGCCTTGTGTCTCCTGTTCCCTCAGTTGTTGCTTCTGAGGAGCACAGCAAAGAGCAGTTGTGATTTTTTGGTCATGAAATAATGCTCCATGACTGAGCTTTTGTTGTGGGTTGGCTTTGGTTCGTTTTGGGTTTTGATAAAACCATACGGTGTTCACTTGGGCGAAGGGAGATCCAGTCACCTGCTGAAGAGGCAGCTCTCTGATGATAAAAGCAGATGGATTTGTGTGTCTTCTCCAGGGGTTCTCCCAGTGCACCTGTAAAAGGAGAGTGGGTTCTTGCTGTGAAGCTTAAGATTCCCTCCCTCCTGGCATCGTGTCAAGTCACGTCCGCATCTCTTGCAGCACAAGGTGTGAAGATAATTTGCAGCCTCCTGCATAAGCACTCAAGTTTTAATTGCAGAAAACGTAGCTTCCAAAATGCCAGGTGGAGGGGGATCCGCGGGGATTCCTGTGTAGGAGAGTGGGGACGGGCCAGGTGTCTGCCTTTCGCGAGGATATTCCCTGTGTCACATCTGGTGCCAGCAGGGCTGCTATCCCTAAACGATCAGGAAGCTTTTGCAGTCGGGCGAGGGCTGAGCTGTCAGGTGAGCCGGGGATCGGGAGTTATCGTGAGGGTTTGATGGCGTGTGAAGGAGGCTGTGGAGTGTGGCGTGGTCCTGACGAGCGCGGGCTCAATTAGGTTCCCCCTGCACACGCCGGGGCACGGGGATGTGAGGACGTGTTCTGGTCCATCAAACGTAAAATGACAAAATCGTTTGTAATCTCTCATTACCAATCCCTGGGGGTTTTCCGTCTACGCCTCCCTCGTGGCATCATTCAATAGTTGATATCTCTCTGCTCTTGCCAGCGGTACTTAAAAATGAAGAACGTGATGTTTTATGAGTTAACTGAAATGGCTTTTACTCAGAGCTCCGTAGGAAAGAAATTCAGGTCGGATCTGAAATATGGCTACTAATGACCAAGGAGCCTTTGCTAATTATTTGCACCTGATTAGAGGTTACCACAGGTGGGTGTATGTGCTTTTACCCTTCCGAATTCTCTTTCCCATCCCACGGGGAGGAGGGAGTGAGGGAGAGGCCGCGTGGTGCTTGGTTGCCAGCTGGGCTTAAACCCTGACGGTGCAGCCAAAGTTCATTACAGGCATTTCTTCCTAGATGGGAAGTGGTTTCTCACAGTGAGTAATCAGCTTGAAAATATGTTGCAGAAGGCACCTAACGTCGTGCACAAGTTTTTTTTCCTTCTAAAACATTTAGAAGTTGAGAGTGACTGTATTTAACTCTTACGTACGCAAAACACGGCATTAATGGGAGTAAAATATCCCTATCCAGTACCTCTGTGTTTTAAATGCCTGAAGCCTCAATCTGTAACCCAGGTGTTCTTCCAGTCATGCCTGCCCTTCTCCTTGATTTATTCATTTTGTTTGCAAATCTTTAATGTATTAAGTAAGCACTTGACCATCTTTTTTTTGTGCACATGCTGCATAATCAGGAAGGTTTCTTGAAAGTTTTCTTGCAAGTGGATTCCCATGCGAGGCCTGTTAGTCGCAGCTAATTACGGAAGTTGGTGAATGAGGAATATATTTGAGTTCAGATTCCCCTCCTCCTTACACAGTGCTTCAGAAGAAAATAAAAAACCTGCAGACAAATCCAACTTCTTCTGTGGTTGTAGTCTCCAAAGAGCTCCAGAGGAAATCACAGATGTGGTTTCATGTTTCAGGTTTAACTATGGTGTAATAACTACAGTCTTATCTTCGGGAGAAGTGCAAGTGGGGAAAGAATCATTAATTGACAGTGAAAAGTCCGACACTGTTCTCTGTGCGTTTGTTGTTTCTTTTTTTTAAGCAGCTGAATGTTTAGCCAAACAATATTTTAACTTTTAACTGCAGCCTTGGAGGCTACAATAACTTAGGTATGTTAAAACACAGGAGTTCTGTAGGAAAGGAAATTCAGATACATGTCTCAGGAAGGTCAATCCCACAAAAGCAGAAAGTTCTTGTGATTTAGTCAAAGCTAAGACACAACCTTCAGCTCACATAAAATGTTTGACCAACGTCTGATTTCCCTACCTTTTGTCAGTGTTCATTCAGGAAGTCTGCTGGCTTGAATGAGTTCCTGTGTGAGTGGAGTAGAAGTGTTAGTTCAGTAGGACTGCATGGGATATGTCTATTATTTGTTACTAAGGCACCAGTGACCTCCCTGCCCCTATATTAGCAGCGCCTGCTGTTTTTCCATACTGCCGACTGTCAGGAATGCAGATCATCCATATAACGGGGTGTAATCTTCATTGGTCAAAGCATTGTCTCGGGAAAACAAAGTGCTTTAATTACAAAAAAAAAGAAATAAAAATTAGAGGCGCAATCTCAGCGGGACGTTCCCGCTTTAATGCGTATTTGAGGCTGGAAAAAATGAATAATTTAGAGGGCGGAGGAGGCAGGTTACATAATGAAATTACATAGGGCTGTAATGATCTCTCTCTCTCTATAACAGGTACAGTTTTCTTCAGGCTTGGTTTGTGGTTGGTTTTCGGCCCCAGTTTTTGTTTTCTCTTTTCAGAACTGCAGTACAGAGACTTCAGGAGTAGCTTGAACTCTCAGAAAGATGCCCCCAAATGACTAGGGCTAGGACAGGAGTTTCCTACCTAGAAAATGAAGTCTAAATCTCTTGCCTGAGCTCTCAGAAACGCACACGTGGCTGAAACCCCTTAAAATTAGTGCAATACTAACAGCTGTATAAAATTCATTAGTAACAGATACAAATATTACAGTATCTCTTCAGAAGAATTGCTGTGTGTACCTATTGGATAAGAAAAGGCTTTATTGTGATATACCTGTGGTCCTAGAAGGTCCATTTATCACTGCTAAAGGCTGGGATTGTTGGTTAAACCAGTGTCTCAGAACAATGCAATGGCAGAGAAGACTGAGAATATCACTTTTCCTTTAGAAACGGTAAATGAATTTTAAATTGTAAGATCTCTTTTTTTAAAAAGTCGTCAGGAGGGTTAAACACTGTGTGGTGGAGATCTTTAGGAGGCTCAGGAGTTCCAAAACAAGATAGGTGACAGTAATTTGGTATTGAAAGTGCTGAAAGGAGCAAGTTTGAGTTTAGTGAAGACACCATAGCACAGATGGTGTCACCTCGTGCATCTTGTTGAGCAGTTACTTACTGCTGCCCTGTGCTGTGAGAAATTGATATTTGCCTCCAAAAAGCTTTGGAAATTTTTTGCTTGTTTTGGTAATTAGCGTGAGGAAGGGGTTCTTATGTTCAAACATGCCCAAACTTTGGGGGGAAAAAAAGCTATTCTAACATGTGTTATTCTAACATTTTTCCCTTTCCCTCTAGCGAGTAAATGCCCCCAGGGCTGAATACTCTGAAAAGTACAAAAATAGCATCAGATATTAATCTAAATTCAAACATATACATTAATGTATGTAAGTTTTTGCATCGGTGTGTTTTAGAGGCATCCCCTTCAAAAAGGCTGTCTGCAAGTAATCTCTGAAGCACAGAAATTGGTTTAATTTGGGAAAAAAATTGGAAAAGGAAAGAGGTTTTTATGTTGCAGTGATGCAGTTTGTCTTATTTTCCCCCAAAGGACACCATGGTTTAATGGATGGGGCTTTAATCTACCCAGAGGTCAGTCTTTGCTAGACAAGTGGAACCTTATTCCTGAGGGAATTGATATACTAATGACACATGGACCTCCCCTTGGTAAGTGAAACAAAAGCTCTGTGTGATTTTTTTTTTTTTTTTGCATGAGAATTTTACTTTCAGAATAAGCAAAATTAATAATGCTCTAAGCTATACTGTAATTGCAACCAAACTCAAAACTATGGATTAAAAGCCTTTTTGGAAGAAGTGGAAAAATGATGATTAGGCTTAGCTGATCTATTGAATTTCAATAAAAAACTTAAATTTTTTGTTAAATTCAAGCTAGGGAAGGTCAAATACCTGACTCAATAATCATTATAGTTTGACATTTTATTTAAGAACAGTATTCATCTGACAAGCAGTTTCCAATCCCATATGTTTTTTTTTAGAGATTGACTAAAACTTTGGAAAACTTTTCTCACCACAATGACATGTTACTTTAAGGCTTGAGAGTAAGCAGTCAGGAGTTTAGGAGTATGCAATCACATATTCTCCTTGATAAAGTCCTTGTAAACGTAGAATACGTGACAGTAGTTTTCAAGGTATTAATTGGCTTCTAAAAAATTTGTGGAGGAATAAAATTATGTTCTTAGATAATTGTTCCTTTCTTGAACTAATGATGGGTAAGCACCAGTCTAGGAATTAATAATTTGTTTTCTCATTGGGTAGCTAAAAGTTTCTCATTTAGTCGAATTTTGCTTGCCTTGTCACTGTGAGTAATTCACTGATCTCCATTTTAGCTTGTGAGATCTAAACTAAGTTGTGATGGTCTCAGAAAGACACGAGGATACTCATTTAGCAGAGACAGGAGCACTCAGTTTTGGCATGTCTGAAGTCATTAAAGCCCACACTAAAACCACTTGAAAAGCCCCACTATTTTTCCTCTATCCTGTACCCCAGGAGACAGTATCACATGTTAGTTCCTGCTTTTCTGTAAGACACATGTGGCAAGCAGTCTAGGACTGCATTTTAAGTATTTCAGGGGGGTTTACAGCTGAGCATCTGTCTTTTATAAATATGACTTACCAGGATAAGGAAGTGTGGCACTTTTCATTACCCTTCTCGTGATTGTTGTCAGGGTTTTAGTAAGCTCTAGCAGTCCAAGGGGTCAGATCATCACACAAGTCACACGAAGTCACTGACTTCTGAGATGGTTGTGAATATAGTAAAAAACTGCTAAGAATTGCATGGTGCCATTACAAAGCAGCATTTTAAATGCTTCCAGGCTGGCTCAGTGATCTCACAGAGCTTCTTGGTGACCGTGGAGTCAGGAATTAGTGCACGCTTATGTTTTGCACCACAATTAGGTTTAGAGTCAGCAATCTAAGCAAAGCTAAGGGGAAAAAAAAAAGTCCTGAAAGTTTTTTCACCAGTGTAATTACTGCTCCTTTTATGTTCTGGTTGCTTTTTTTTTTAATACTGCTTAGAGAACATTGTAAGGTGATCTGCAAATTCGCTTTAGCCTTACTGGATCTCCCACCTTGCTGCTGTGTTAAAACAGGGATGCAGCATCCACTGACTTTGGAGCCAGCCCATATTGCAAACCAGTGCTTTGAACAGCACTCTCTTAATCAGTTTATTTTCCCAAAGAAGCAAAAAAAAAAAAAACCCTGCAAGCATGTTTATAATGTTTCATGGGTGCTGTTTTAAATGGGTTGTTAATCCATCTGCTCTGAATTGGGTTCATACAGAAGCACTGTGATGCTGCAGACACTAAGGAGTGCTTTAATTGAATAAGCATACTTAAATTTCGTGTTTGATGGAGATAATAAAGTTCCATTTTAAGAGGTTGGCGCTGTATCTTAACTACAGACACAGACTAGGTGTTAGCACTGTGCCTAAAATGAGGGGCTTTAGGTCTCAGCCTGTATGGTAATATTGACAAAATACTGCTTTCTAAATAAATATTTATTGTTTACTTATTTACTTAGTAAGTAAATATTAAGGGAGGCAATCACATATGCAGAACCATTTCGGTTCTGGAATAACCACGCAGCTGGCTCGGGAAGCTGAGTGCTCCAAGAGCCAGGGGAAAGGGAAGAAAAATCTGCAACAGTGCCAGGAATAAATGTCCCGGGGTTTCAAGGTGGAAGATGAGTTTAAACCTATGGTTTAAAAAAAAAACAAATCACATCCAGAAAAATATTAACGCAGATGAAAGGAGGAAATCTTAAGGAAGACAAAAGTGACAGTGAAACATTTCTTAAAAGCCATTGTGTGCTTTAATGGAGAGGTTATGACTAGAGATAATGTAATAAACCTTCTGTGAATTATGACTTCCTGAAAGGCTACGTGAGACCTTACCTGAATAGACAAAATTAACAGTATTGATTGCATTTTGCCTTCAGGTTTTCGAGACTGGGTTCCAAAGGAGCTGCAGAGAGTGGGTTGTGTGGAGCTGTTGAACACAGTGCAGAGGCGAGTGAGGCCCAAACTCCACGTCTTCGGTGGGATTCATGAAGGTAAGGAGCAGTACTGCTCCCCACTTCGACCTCAGGCGGATTTCAAGGAGCACATTTTGATGGTGTGTTGCAGTGGATGGATAGTGGCATATTGGACTAAAGCAGGGAAGGAGCTGAGGGAAGTGGTTGCGTGCACAGCACTTCGTAAATCTCTGCCAGAATTAAAGCAGACTGTTTCGGGAGTGTGTGCTACATTTAGCCACCTACATCTCTCACTGTGCAAAGGTTGTTCTGTGCAGGTTATTTGAAAGCAATTCAAGTTTTGACAAACTTGGTTAGAGAAGCAGATGAGATTCCTCACACTTGCAAGCCAAAATGAAAATTATCCCCCTTACTGTAAATGCAGGAGCTAAGAAAGGTGCTAGAGAGAAAAGAAAATCAAAGGCAGCTCACTGTCTCAGCTCACCTCCCTCAGTGCAAAAGGAGAAGCAGAAAGGAGGGCATCTTGAGTCAGGCATCAGGAGGCATTGCCAGAACTCGCTGTGCATACATTTCTAAAAGCACCCTGTAACACAGTCTGTGCTCTGTGTGTTACCCTCCAGGAGTCTCATGTTTTAGGAGAGATATTTCCCCACTGTCAGTGCCAGGAGAGGCAGAGTGTGAAGCTTCAGAAACAATGAGCTCGGTTTGTGGCAGTGGAAGAGGCTGAGAGATTAAATACATTCTGGAGATACTTAAATATTTAATACAATTTCATAGCTTTCATGTGGCTGAGAGACAAACACGAGGAGTTCTGCCTGAGAGAGAGAGTGTAAGACTTTGTGACCCTGGAACTCAAAATTACACATTAAATGCTTTATATTCTCCCCCTGGAGGTTTCTCCATTGTCTATAACTAGGTTCTTCATAAGCTTAAAGATTTGGAGGACTTCATAAAAGGAAAATAAAAAAAGGACAGCTCTCTCAACCAGTGGTGTTGGTTTTTCTGGAAGCCCTTGTGATTCCCTACGAGGAATTTCATGCCTGGCATCTGCAAATAAAGAGTTTATACTGGGAATGCTGACATGACCTTAGGTGTAGAGGCATAAATAACAGTCTTAATGCACCTAGGAAAAGATTGGATATGTTGTATAAATATTAGTCCTTGCATAGTAAGAATAAGTGAATATAGCAAGACTTCCAGCTAAAACATGTAAATTGTCCACAGCCTTAGTAGGCACATAAAGTGGTGAATCTTCTGGTTGAAATAATATTTAATAGTGGGAGAGGAAGATATTTTAATGTACAAGAACATTATTATGAGAAAGCACCAAGGAACCAGGTGCAGCACCCTACATTTAAATCTCACAGGAAAGGTGGCAGCACGCATGAAAAGTGAGCATTCAAGGAAATTCTTTCAAGAATAACAACAAAAAGTTAAAATCCCATTTAGTACTTACAGAGAAGACGTAAGAACAGCTTGTTTCAATACAGGAAGAAATAGCAAAGTGTTAAAAGCATTATCTTACAGTTCAATTAATTCTCATCCAACTCCAGCTGAGATGAACATGCACCACATTCCCTTAAATCAGCGGAGACTGTACACACATTTTGGGAATGCAGGTTTTTTCCCTGGTTGATAAGCAAGAACAACCACAAACAAGGTTTCTCCCACCATGAGACGATCTAAATCAAAATTGCCATTCTAAATAAATAAAGTAATACAGGTGGACAGTGCAGCAATTCTGAAGTGATTATTCTTTCTGATAGGCACTGTGGGTAGCTGTATTTATCTTAGCTTTCAGACAGCAGTGATCTGTACTGTATCATAATGGCTTAAAAGAAAAACATTGTTCCTCTGTGAAACTCTGGGGGTTTTCAAAATTATTTTTTCAAGTACATTTGGTGCCAAATACATTTTCAAGTTTTTGGTTTGTTTTTTTTTCCCAAGCTTCTTTGTTTCGCTTTTTTTGTGGATGTCAGCTGAAAATACACACATTTTTGTAGAAATAGTTTAGAAAAATATATATATGTGTGTGTATATATATATGTGTGTGTGTATATATATTGTGGAGTCATAAAATGGTTTGGGTTGGGAAGGACCTTGAAGATCATCTCATTCCAGACCCTCTGCCAGGGGCAAGGACACCTTCTACTAGACCAGCTTGCTCCAATCCCCATCCAACCTGGCCTTGAACACTTCCAGGGACAGAGCTTCCCTGGACAGCCTGAAAATGTGTATGTGTGTATTTTTAACCTGCTGATGAGTTTCTGAGGTATCAGGAGCCAGCATGAACACCACCTTGGCAATCCTGTGAGGAGGAACTGGATAATAAGGAGAGCTTACAGGGTTGGGGTCGTTTCCCAGAGAGGGGGTGTTGTATGACTAAACCAAAAGTTACTTCCGAATCTTTTGCTTCTGATTGGTCTTTTTCTTCTGACTGCAGCTCGCTAATTAAGTAATTAGAAAAAAGGACATGTGTGGTTTTGCCCCTGTTGTCCCCACACAGGTTATGGCATCATGACAGACGGGTACACGACGTACATCAACGCCTCGACGTGCACGGTCAGCTTCCAGCCCACCAACCCCCCGATTATATTCGACCTCCCGACCCCTCAAGGATCCTGAAGCACTACTGCACATTTGGAACCGGGGGAAGGTCTATAAACTGCCATTTTCTAATTATAAAACATTCAGTTATGTGTTTATTTCGAAATTGGGGGCTGGGGAGCGGGGGGGGGTGGGGAGGATTTTGGGGGAACCGTGGGGGTTTTTTTGTTTTGGGGTGGGCTTTGGGGTTTATTTTTTGTTTTGTTTTTTGTTTTTTTTTGTAAATTGCTGGTGCAAAACAAACAAGGAGAAAAAGTTAGAGGTTGTGCTTTTTGGAAATGCAGCATTCATTTTAAATTGATGAAGCATTGTGAATTTGTAAAATGAATTTTGTTTTTCAATAAATTTGCCATTGTAAATTGTTATAGTGTTCTCAAAAGGACAGCCAAGCTTTCTTTTAATAAGTGAGAGACCTTATTTTAATATTATATTATAAGCTAAAAAATAGGCAGCATTTAAAAACACCCAAATTTGCACAACTTATGTTATTGTTGAGGTTTTTTTAAGCGTCTTCTTTTTCCCTAGGTCTAAATGTTAGCTTTTTATCTCCATTTATATCAATTTTTTTTCAGTAGCACAAACAATATTTTGGGGTCCATTTACCTCTTGACATGTGTGCATGTACTTGTTTCTGTTCACAGTAGAATGCAGCAAGGGGAGAATTGACTTCTCAGTTGTTTGTCTCTACCTGCTTTATAAAGACTGCTCTAGATAGCCACAGCCTGTATGTGATATCTGCCTTCTATTGTTTCTTTTTTAAATTATTTTAGCTTTAAAAGACTGGGGGTGAAAGCTGCAAAGAGCAGGTATTTCATGCAGTAAAAAAAAATTAAAAAAAAAAAAATGTAAATGCGGACTCCTTTTAAATATGAATTTATATATATATGTATTTTTTGTGCATTATAACTAAGCTAGGATTTAATATTGCCAGTATAGCATCTGCAAAATTATGCTGTACAGCACATCTAAATTATGAAGGATGTGACACATTTTTCCAAGTGCTCAAGGCCTTCAAGAGCCCGAGTTAAATCTTTGTTGTAGTTCAGGCATGTATAGAGTCGAATGGATACAATCAAGCCTAAATAAAATAAGGCTTAGTTGTCCTTTATATTTAAATATTCTTCTCGTCTTTTTTTATTTCCTTTTTCTTATTTTGCACTGTGTGTAAATGCAATCTCGCTAGCACAAAATATTGTTGCAGATAGTTATTTCTGTTCCACCACTGTAAATGCTATTGAGCTTTGTTCTGTTTTATGTTACCTTGTTAATGGAATTTAGAAAAGCGGTTGTTTCTTTAAATTTATTGTGATATTATATCTAGCGGCCTTTATATGCAAATAAAATTGCAAGATTTTTAAATATGTGGCCTAAGGGAATTTTTGTGGTGTCCTGTGGCACGAACAATTTGGGGGAGTGATGATGAGGGTAAGTAAGAAGTTTTCTGTTCCTCAATGCATTTTTGTTCGTGCCCATGGAATGACAGACACAGCAGGACCTGCTGGTGTTGCTGTTCCAAAATAGAATTGTGGCTGTGAAAATCCAGTTTCAGGCATGAGAAGATGAGGCCCACTTTTCGTGATTCTGCATCTACAATAGTGTCAACAAGGCCTGGAGAGACACAGAGTGTTCACATTTATCTCAGTGGGTTGTTACCTTTTGACATTATTTTCATACAAAGGTTATAGCAAACCAAATTTTAGGCTCTTACAGCAGAGTACAGCCTAGAGTGCCGGTGTGTGTTTTGATGCAACATGCATTCCACGCAGCTGTGGAGCTGGCTGAAATGTTCAGATTTATAGGGCTGCTATACCAAAGTCTTTTCTGGGGAAGAAGCTGCTGTGCCTCTTAAATCTAGTTCTTGCTTTGCATGTGGAATGTCTTGTCAGGTTTCCCTATGAAATATATAGGTGCCTTCACTCTTTAATGATACCTGCCTTGCTTTGCTTGCAGTGCTGGTTATTTTATCAATTGAGCCAAAGGAAGAAAGGTTCTTTATATATATATATATATATATATATATATATCTCAGTCCTTACTTTGAATGTTGATGCAGAATCAGAATCTGTCTGGTGTGCTTTTTTCAGCTAGCAGTGGGAAGACTGGGGAATTGTTTTTGGCAATCAGGTGTTTACTGGCAAAGAGCACAGCTGTCCATTTGAGATGGGTGTCCTTCCTTGGAAAAAGCATTTTTTTTTGGGGGGTACATAGAAATCGTGTATTTAGCACACCTTGGATTACTCTGTTTGGCTTATCTGCTTGTTGTTGCTGCCCAAGAAGGAAATACCCATAGCCTCAGTTGATGTTGGTGCTGAATAAACAGCTGTTAATTTACAGAAATAAATCTTCAGGGGTACTTTCTAACTGTGTTTTTCTCTTGGTACTTTTCTTCTCTCAAGTTCTGTCAGCCTCACCTTGCATACCACTGCTGGTTCAGGACAGAGCTTTTCTTTTCCATGCCAGGATCTTTTAAATCTTATTCCCTCAGTTTTCCTTTGTCCTTTCAGAAATTGATCTAGCTTTTCCTCTTCTGAGAAAGCTATCATTTTGGCTAGCAGCTATTACAAAAAGGCCAGGAGAACATTAGCAGCTTGGCATTTTTTCTTTTTGTCCTCCTTAGAGATTTTGAAATGTCTATCTGTGCTGTCACAGGCAGGTAATTTTCCTTTGCTGGATGTCAGCCATATCTGACAATCAGGGTAAATGGGACACAGTATGATTTGAAGAAGGTTGATTTCACGGGGAGGCAGAAGTGTGTGATGAATCTGCTTCTTTTCAAGGATCTTTCCCTACTAAAAGTAGCTCTGTACATGTATGCAGAATAAACCTGGGATGATAAGTCTTTCTTCGGGGTCTGCTCCAAGCCCACTGAACTCACCAGGAGTCTTTCTATTCACTTCTGCTGGCTTTGGATCAGACACCTGGCATCTCTCTGGATTGTGTTTCTGTCTGTTCCTCATCCTTCAGACTGGAGGAGATGGTCCCTGGTTAACATGCAAGAACCTCCTGGCGGGAAGAGGGACCTTCCTATTGTAAGTGCTGAATCTTTCCAGGTGATTGATTAACAGCAGAGTAGTCGATTAACCTTTCTTCTTCTGAGAGCAGCTTTCATCCAGTCATCTCGATAAGGCTGAAAGCAGTCAAGGCCTTTATCAGGGGAGGGCTGCGGAACAGGATGCTCCCCAGAGGTGATTGGTTCCCAATTCTCTCTGCATAGTGAATTTAGTGAATTCAGCAGACCTTGAGGTCAAGCATTTATTAGGCTAAGAGACTGTCAAATCAATCTGGTCTACTCCAGGCAACTTCTACCAGGAGAATGGGTTTTGCCAAGACTCTGTCGAAGAAATAGATTGATGACTGACTCCTGGTTGAAGCTGCCTTTCTCTTTTCCATTTTCCGTGAATCAGAGTTTTTCCCCTCACTGACACCAATATTTTCTCCCTAGACAAATTTTATTAAGGAAACTCCTGGAAACCATCTGTAATTTAAGTCACAGGGAGGCTTCCAAACTCTGTAGCCCTTCCATTCTGTGTTACATTGACCCTTGGAGCTTTCTTTCAGGCCTGGCTTTCTTGACCACATGTGTTTGAATTACGTTTCAGGAATTTTCTTTTCACCCCTTCTCTCCCTGCCCTCCCCCTTCTTTTTTAAACTTGATATTCTCTAGCAGTTATAGGCAGTTAGGGTTCCTGTTTTTCTCTGCCTAAGCATGATAGCTTCTGATTGTGAGGAGAAATGCACTGTAAAAGCACTGTGCTTGCTTTCCTCTGTTCTGATACTGATCCTAACTTCCTTGCAGATTCCTCCTTCGCAGTAACCAGCCCACTGTGCACTATCATCAGCTAATTTACATTAGCTGCTCGGATAAAACCGTGTTGTGGTCAGGCTTGGACAGCTGTGTCAGCTGCCAGAGGACACCCTCTGCACATCTGCAGGCAGGTCCCAGCCTCTGGAGCACTGCCCAGCCCGCAGAGAGGCACAGAGGAAGGAGCTCTAACAAATGAGTGCAGCCCAAGTGCGACACGGGAGACTAAAGTTGGGTTTTAAAATTTTCATCTTTGGTTCCCGTCAGCCTAATCAAGGGAAAATGCAAGAGAAGTCCGAGCGAGCTCAGTGCTCTGAATCGGTTTTCAGTCATCCCTATTGATTTATCTCTTCCCCATCCAGTTATCCCTTTCCGTACCTCCACCTCTTGTCAGGAGCCAGCCGGTTTTGTAATGATTCTATTAGGATGTGGCTATAAGGATGCATCTCGTTTTGTGTTTACCTCTTGTTTTCCTCAGGCTTAATTTACTTTGTGTCGATTATAGAGCAGAATCAGAGCTGAGTCCTTCGTTTCTTCCAGGCAGCATTTTCCTGCAGTTCTTCTTGCACAGTTTAGCTGTTTATTTTGTGACTAAGGTTTACATTCATGAAAGGGAGTGTGAAAAAAACCAAAACTGTACCTGAGTTTAGGATAACTGAATGAATGGCCTGCATTAATCTCTTCCTCAAACAGTGAGGGGTCCTTCTCTAGGTAGATGGCTCAGAGGTACAATAGGACTTGTCAGCTTTATGAACTGAGGAGTTAGGAGTGCAAAAATCCTAGGAGTTTGGATAAATAACAATATATTCAAAAGCAGACTAGAAAGCACAGACTCAAAAGTATAAAAGAAAAGACTTAGTCTTCCTCAAATTCCATTAAAATGTATATTTTTATTGCTGTTTTTATTGCTGTGGCTCAAATGTTGTCAGTGTGTTGCCAAGGGCTGTGGGTTACAAAAGGAGCAGCAAGGTTTTTGCATGCTGTGCACAAGCTTTTTCAGCATTCACCGTTGTGTGAGTACTTCAGCAAAATATTTTCTGTTTTCTGCCTGAGAGTTACTGCAATTGGAGGAAGAATGTAACTTTTCTTTTTCATGATCCCTGTCATAGATTGTTTAAAAGCTCTGAAGCAGGTACAAAATCTTTGCATTGTTGTGAGATACCAACTGCAGCTCTCTCAGTAACACCACATTGTTATTGGCTTTGTGTTATAAGGTATCAAGAGAATTTTGGTGTTTGAGCATCATATTGACACTGCAAGGCATCTGGCTCGAGCCCAGCTCTGGCTGGCACAGGGGCAGTTCCTAAGAG